GAAACGTTGCTTAGTTTATTCTCTTCTTTTAATGTCTTTCAATATTATATCAATTAATTAAACGATCTACGTGACAAGAAATTTAACAGGTTATGGGACCCAGATAACGTTTTTCTTAATTAATTGATTTGACGAAGAAAATTTAGAATAAAGAAATATCTGAAGATTCTTTTGTGAAGACTGAAGTGAAGAGAAAGCACGTGCTTCTTCATTCTCTAAAAGTCGATATTTTGCTTCTAATTAAAAGGTCAAATTGAAAGACAAGGAAGAAATGGATCTAACAAAAGTGCAAATCAAACACCTAGAAGGCAAAAGTAATTGGTTGAACTGGAAGTCGAGAGTTTGTGGCATTCCTGATGCAATGGACGTAGTAAATGGCAAATTAAAAATTCCAGATGAATTAAACGATGACTCAAATAAAGATGAGATAGCAAAATATCAAACTGCTTTGAACAGATTCAATAGAGCAGATTGTAGTGCTATGATTATTCTGTCAACCAACATGACCGATGAAACGTATGAAAAAGTTCGTTCATTCAGTAATGCCAGAGATGTTTGGTTAGAACTTCACAGATTATATAATGAAGTTAATGAAGATAAAGCATACAACTTATACATGAAGTTCTTTAGTTATAAAATGGATGAAAGCGATGATGTTGTCACTCATGTTACAAAACTCAAGAATCTGTGGAAAGATTTGAAGGTTGAGTTAAGAAAAGATGAAAACATTGACTTGTTGCTGATGTGTCAGATAATTGAAATTCTGCCAGAAAAATATTTTTCATTTGCTGCAAGTTGGAGATTGTTGAACAAGACTGAAAGAACAGTCGAAACACTCACAGATCAACTGTGTAGCTATAAGAGATCTTTGGAAGGCAAAACAGAATGTAATAAAGTATTATTTGTCAAAGCAACAACTAAAAGGTCATCATCACTAAACATGAATGGTCAAAAACAAGATAAATTTGTCAGCAAACCAAAGCGACTGATATGTCATTATTGCAAATTGCCAGGTCACATTGTAAGGAATTGTGAAAAATGGCATTCTGATGGTAGACCAGCAAAACCAAGAAATAACAATCTACGCGATGACAATAAGTCACTAGTTGTTATGGAATCAAGTGTTTTTGCAATTAGTCAGCGTACACTGATGAATGGTTTTTTGACAATGGTGCAACGTGTCATCTAACTTTCCGAAGAGACACATTTCAAAGTTTTGAAAAATTTTCTCAACCGAGTAAATTATATGTTGCAAATGGTGATACTGTAGAAGCTTTTGGAAAAGGAATTATTCATCTTCAAGTGAAGGTGAACAATAAATGGCAAACTGTTAAACTTACAGATGTCTTGTATGTGCCAAAAGTAAAAAGAAATTTCGCTTATTGTTGAATCCTTATTAAAAAAAATAAACTCTCTTAAAAATAACGTTGTCAAATGTCTGGATAGAATTCTGCAATTAGTAAATGAAACTATCCTTAAACAACTAAATTATTCCAATCCCGGTCATAACTCAAATTTTAATTTTGTTGCCAACACTTCAACTGAGTCTACAAATTCTTATAAACTTAACCCCATGCATAATAATGTTAGTCATTTTAAAAACCCTTCGCAGAGTCTCAGGGATGTTGGTGTCGAACCCCTAAGAAGTAGCGACATCAATAACTTCCCCTGGATAACTGTAAATAATAAAAAACTGGGTAAAACCGCCAAGAGGAAAGTAGACGATTCTCCTACTTTGAACTCACCAAATATATTTTCGTATTCAAAAGTAGTAAGCAATACACTTCCTCAAAAAGTCAAATGCAATATTGGCTGAGCCAATAATGACGAACTACAGCCAGGAAAATTAAACACACAAAAAAAAGTTACTTTTTTTCTGTCAAAAATTAACAATACGTTGAATATCGAAGCAGTTAAAAATTACTTAACAGAACGAAATGTTAACGTAATCGGCATATATCAAATTAAAAGAAAAACAGATTCTTCAGTCAAAACTCTATATAATTCTTTTAAATTATAATTGTTGAACATTTTGAAACAGTAAACAATCCAGCTTTTTGGCCGAAAGGTATTATCCATCGCCCCTGGATTTTTAAACCTGACAATGAACCTCCAGCTAAGAAGACACACGAATTGTTAAATAATTCATCGATCCCTCTATTGACTATTGATATTAAAAACATCAATCAACAAAATCAATCAGGACACCTGTTAAATCTTTCTGAAAATGTTAATGCTGCAAGTAGCTGGGCTGAACAATCCGAAAATATGCCTACCTCAAATATCACCGATCATGACAACCGCAATGTCTGATTATATTTTTCCTATCTATGATGATTCATTCATAACAACATATTTCAAGAAAATTTTTAATTCGGATAACCATTATTATAATTCCCTTTTTGTCTCCTTTTTTGATTCTTTTCTGGCTTGTAAACCATACCTGCCAAATGAAATTAATAATAATATCATCAATTCAATTTAAAAAAGAGAAAAAAACCAAATTAATTTATTAAATTTTAATTGCAGAAGCATAACAAACAAATTAGATGATATACAACTAATGCTTGATGAAATACCTATCGATTTTGATGTTCTTACTTCACAGAAACATGGCTTACTCCTCAAAATGAAAAATTTGCAAATCTAACAAATTATAACTGCACCACTACATACCGACTTCTCTAGAGTGGTGGTGGTATTGCTTTCTTCATAAAGTCAAATTTAAAATTTCTTCATAGAAAAGATTTACCAGTAAACAGCATTGAATGTGAAGCTGACATTATAGAAATAATTTCTCAGAATAATAAAAAAATCTTAGTTGTCAATATTTACAGACCACCAAATTTAAATACTGAAAATTTTCTAGATTACCTCAACCAGCTACTGGAACTTCTCACTAAAAAAAATAAATTTATTTATCTCACCGGTGACTAACATAAATCTAAATCTCTTTAGCAACAACTCAAAACAATTTTTAGATATACTCACCTCCTTTTCAATCCTGCCAGCAATAAATATTCCCACCCGTTCAACTAGTTCAACTGATTCAATCCTAGATAATATCTTCACCAATAATCCAAATCTTTTTCAAAGTGGTACCATTATTACGGATATCTCAGATCATTACCCAATCTTCATTTCTCAGTGTATAAAACCTCTTTTGAAGAACAACAAAAATAATGATATTGCATCTTTCCATAATTTCTCTCAAAAAAATATTTTCAAACTTTCATCAACCCTACATATGGAAAACTGGTTCCACTTAACTTCCATTGAAGATAGCAATGAATGTTTTATGAACACTATTGAAACAAACAATTAAATATTGCCCTCTGACTCATAAAAAAGAAATAAATTCAAATCTGTTCAACTCTGGATCATTAAGTGAACTGGCCAACTATAGACCGATCAGCATCATTTCGTGTTTTTCTAAAATTTATGAAAAAATTATTAAAACCAGAATAAATTCATTCTTGGAGAAAAATAAAATTTTAACTGACCAACAATTTGGATTCAGAAAAGGCCTTTCAACAGAAAATGCATTAATCAAATTCACCAATGACATCAATTTCAACC